AAAGGAGTCTCCCTAAAAAGGGTCTTTAAAGCTTAATCGAACGGAAGCAGAATTCTTCTTACTGCCCAACCTAACAGCAGACAGCTAATGCGGGACAAACAGTCAATTTTGAAAGAGCTTATTGTCAACCAAAATACCCAACAAGCATTAACTCTCCTTGAAAATGAGGTCATTTTCTTCTCGGGACCTTTTACTTTTTTTTATCATGTGGGAGTGAAGAAGATCAACAGCTTTGTAATTGTGTATGGGGGTGGGGGTCAATTTTTTTCAAAAAATCACATCTTTCCAAGAAAATGTACTAGGGTTTCACCCGAGATTGACACGTGGTAGGCAATACGACAGGTTCTCAATTGCCAACCAGGGTAGAAATTGTGAATTTTCAAACTTTTCAAACTAGAGTTTCACCCTAGATCGACACGTGATAGATCCGGAATACGGTAAGTTCGCAATTGCAAATCTCGGTACAAATTGTAAATTTTCAAACTTCAGGGGCCAGGTTTGCTATTGTAGACAAAGGTCGAAAGTGGAAAAAAATTGTCGTTTAACTAGGTCTGCAATTGCGAACCTAGTATATTGCTGACCTATGATTATTTTTGTAAAGTTGGGAGAACATGGCTAACAGGTTAAACCAACCTTGCAAAATGACTACTTTAATTAATTTCCCTTAAAAAACACAAGCTTTCGAAGTTGTGTATGGATATTACTCAAAGTATTCATCCTATCTTTCATAGATATGAACTTTTGACCTCCTGAAAAGTTGGTTCTACTGATAATTTGGGTACCACTAAACCAATGACACTCTTGATCTTTGTGTTAAAGTTGCAAGACAATTTACGTCTGATATCACTGTTTTTATGTAAAATATTTAAGAAGAAATGTTTTTATCGTTTATGTAAAGCATTTAAGAACGTCATATGTAAGTGTTAAGTGTCTAACTTGTAATCCTTACCATCCACTATAATACAATTTGTACACAATTTCATAATTGAAATTGTCATTGTCAACTTTATAAATTGTTTAAAAAATAGTTTTTACCAATTTCTTAGGTGACACCTATAATTAAAATTATAGTTTTATCATAACCTGAGGGTCGTTTACCAAACACTTACCCGGTAAGTGTTTACCAACAAAAGTTAACAGTGTCATTTATTTGCCGGGTAAGATTTTAGTTCATCAAAACGACATCGTATGCAACAATTTACCCGTTAAGCACTTACCGTGGAAAGAATCGTCGCTCTCACTTACCGGGTAAGACTCTTGATCCTTGTCTCGTTCTTACCGGGTAAGATTCTTGGTCCTTACCATATTCATCCGGTAATATAAAGCACTTATCCGGATAAGCGTTTGACAAACGACCCCTTAATCAAATATTTAATGAAAGTTGTACAACTTCCATTAAATATTTTAAGTGATATATCAAAACCAAAAACTATATTTTAATCAAATAATAATACAACTTCTATTAAATATTTTTACTATAATTTAATACCAATATTAATTAATTAATATATAATACGATAAAAATGCACTATTAAATTAAGTAAAAAATATTTTAATTCTTTTATAATTTATCTCAATTTATTATTTGGACTTATTTCAACAACTATATTTAATTTCAATCAAATTATTTATTTTAATTTTATAAAATAATCGTTAAACATTTATATTTATATTTATATTTTTAATTATTAATTAATAAAAATCAACAAAAATATTAAAACGTAACGAGTATTGATATAAGTAGGGGACTAGGGGTTAACATGGTATGATATCTTTTTCCCATATATCTTATACAAACCAATCGTAATTGATATGTAAAATTTTATATCATACACCAATCAACTATAAATATGGTACCAATTTTTTTCCATTGGTACATATTGATACAGTTTTATACCAACATCGTAAAAGTTAAAGTTATAAATTTATTTATATTGATATCTTTGCCTACTAGATCTAAATGCATTAAAACCATAGAGCATTTAAATAACACGTGCATATGTATTGTACCACTTATCCCTACTCGTGCAGGCATTTAAATTACTCTCATATAATACAAACATCCACTGGTATTCTGATTAAAAAGGCCATTGACATGCGACTATGGACCGTGGAGGTGTCGGCAAAATACTAGCGTTATTAGGGTTAAGCGAATTAGTTCAATCAAGTTTCGTTTATCCATCGATATTATAATTTGATCATTTTTAAATAAAACAAATTGGTCTAACTTCATGATATAATCACTATTTGGTGTCATTTAATTATGTTTTGACTTCATTTATGTTTTAGAAAATGTAAATTAGAAACCACAAGTGTGGTGCCTGATTGGTTTGAGCTTGAGTTCCAAAGGTCAAAAGTATCTGGAGATCTCATGTTCAAATCCAAGAAGAAATAAAATCCCCTTGTGGCCACGGAGGTTCAAATGTGGTGACCCCGGGCTACCCGCAAAGCATGTGGTCGCTCTGGGATTAGTCGGCTCGCATAGCGGGTTGGATATCCAAGTTAATAAAAAAAATGTAAATTAGATAGATGTGATATCCACTTGATATTTATGTTCTTAAAAATCAAAATTAGTTTACAAAATTTGGATGTTATGAATCTACATTAAAAAAAAAGAGTTTTACGTTTAGTGAGTTCAAACAGTTTATAAATAAGGTTAATAAGTATTAAACCGGAAACATAGACATTATCAAAATCCACCGATCCAAATATTCCATTTTCACAACTTACGAAAATTAAAACACATCTTGCAATGACGGGGGGAGACCTGAGTTTTCATTGATAGTGATGGAACATAAACATAAGCCATGTATTTATGTTCGTTAGCCCATTACCGACCAGTGGTCAACCAATCCAACCATGCATGGTCTACAGCTTAGGGCTCCCGCCCCCTAATGATCATATATATGCTTATTCACTAAAAACTACACCTCAAGGTCAATGGTTAATGTTCGACCCATAAGAGTCAGCACTACAATGCCCTCGATGACTTGATGATCCATTTCTAGCAACAAATAGTTTCAAAATCAACAAACATATAAAATACTTCAAAATGAAAAGTGAGATTTTTGTAAGAACTTTTATTGTGGAGTTTTATTGAGGTTTTTTATTTTGTTGATGTGTCAGTGATGTTGTACGGAAAAATATGGCAAGTGAAGTTCTTAGAGGTTCCACCATTGTGGATGCTCTAAGGTCCCGTCTGGTTTGCAGAAATGTAATGGATTTGGGGGGATTTAGATTTTATATCAATTTCAATCCCATGTTTGGTTTGTTGGATTTTCCGGATTTGAAATTATATGATTTAATTGAAATCCTACAAACATAAGATAATAAAATCCTTAAGGGATGCTCGGGATTTCATAGGATCGTATGCAATAAACTTTTTAAAATTGTTAAAAAAAACATTTATTTTGTAATAATCGATTAATAAGAACGTAATTTAACTATTTTATAATTCTTTTATAAATAATGGAATTAAATTCCATTTCAAATCCTACAAAGCAAATAAATCACTCATTTCAAATTCATTCCAATTCAAATCCCTCCAAATCCAAATACCTTCATGAAATCCAAATCCTTCAAAAACAATCATGTAAACTAAACATACCCTACAGATCTTCAATGCGTGTTCTTTGACCTGTCCAACACATCAACACACAAAATTGTCAAACCGTCAATAGGGTTGAATATTGGGTTAGAGTTAACTCAATTCAATCCAACCCGCCAACCCGTCGCTAATATATAATTTTGATAGAAGTTATATATATATATATATATATATATATATATATAATTTTGGTATGTAAACGTATTTTCGTTTATATGTATGTGTATCACTAATTCAATATCATCTATCTGTTATATGTATATGATTAAATCGAGCGATGGATAATACTCATATGTCATCAAAAATCGAAGACATACTTATGTAAAAGCATAAATTATTGATTTCGTCCCTGTGGTTATCTAGGAATTACGGATTGGGTCCTTCAAACAAAATAATTACATCTATAGTTACTGTGGTTTCATTTTTGTTACGGATTGGATCCCTCGTCATGATTCTATTAATGGTTACTCCGTTGAATTAAGAGAATTTTTGTCTTTTTACATTTTTATTTCATTTCTATTTAGAATAATAATAAATTTATATTAAAAAAATCTCTGTTAAATCAAGACTATTTTAGTCTTTCTGGTTTCTTTTCTTTTAAGAGACTAAAAATTATATATATATATATTTTAAACATTTTTTACCCTTAATTAATTAATATAAAACTATGATGGACCAATGAAAAGGAAGGGTGCCAAAACAGGGGAGACGGAGACGGAGACGGACGGCAAGAGCTATCGTTGTGTGTATGTGTATATAGCATAGAACGTAGATCAATTACTAACCGTTATATTAAACTTTGTTAACCAATCTCAATCATCCACCTAGTCTAATAAATATCTAGTTCACTGAATATCTCGTCTGTTTTTTAATATAAAATGATGATCATAATAATGATCTCCGATAATCTTCTATAAATATTCAAATAATAATAAATGAACCCACATCAATTTCAGAAATGTCTCAATTAATTGGTTTGTACTAATTTTAGGTTTGTCAACGAAACCACCTCTATATATAAGAGAGAGATCTTTTACAAATTTAACCATTAGTACAAATCATACAAACCAATTAATTGAGATATTTATAAAAATAATGAAAGTTTATTTATTATGATCGAAATATTATGAAAGATTATCATAGTTCATTAATTATGATCAATGTTTCATATTAGAAAACAGTTGAGATATTCAGACTAGATGAATTTGAAGATTAAACTTACGTATGTAAATCTCAACCGTAGTCCATACGTTTTATAGTAAACAAAGAGCAGTTTTACGTGCTTTGTAAATAAATATGAAGTCAAGGTAAGTAGTCCATACGTTTTATAGTAAGCAAACCAAACCAAATAAACGCAGTATGTATTCTTAATCAGAGATGAGACTTGACGAGATATACGTAGATCCAGCCTCTTCCCAATAAATATACAAACAATTTATTTCTTAAGAACAGTTGTAGAACATGGTAAAATATCTTATACATGTATGTGGTCTATGACAACTGCTATTTACAACAAAAATAAACTTGACCATCCCAAAAAATAAAAGAGAAGAAAGCTTCATAGATAATCCATAGGAAGATCCCACTCCTCTTCGGTGTCATCAACGGGTCGTTTCCGGGGTTTCTGGCTACTCACACCCGACCTTCTTCTGCCCTTTCGGTATCCAGATTGGCCTTCAAGACCAGAGTAATTGTCGATTGAGTAACCCACTCTCTGCCCATCCCAGAATCCCTGAATTCATCAATAAGATTTTCATGTCATTATGCAATTTGTGATACAAAATCAACTCCTTTTCTAGTAGTGCTCGACCTTTTCTGTAACCGTGGTCGTAGGGATCTGCTTACGCAAATCCCATGGAAACCTGAAGATAACAACCGAGAAAATCTCCATTAACCCTGAGGAGACTCGAATCGGCCCCAAGGTCTATCCTTTATTTTGCTGGTTGAGCAGAAATAGCTCATTTCCTTGTAAAATATACGTCCTTTCACATTTTTTACAAAAAAAAAAAAAAACAATTGTCTGTAACAACTACAAGAAACCAATTAAAGAAGGTTTTAAAAGGTCAACACACTTCTCTAGCATGATAAAATACAAAATTTCCCAAAAAGGAGCGAACCCAGTTCACCATAACTCGAACGCATGAACTTTTAGTCACAAAGAAGCAATTCTAAAGCAGGTTGTTCGTTTTAAGCACTTTCTCTTATTCTATATCAAGACTTCCTCTTAATGGTGTTTGGTTTGCAGTCAGAATTTAACGAGTAGGAAATTGATAGGAGAATAGAACGAGATTTGGGAACAGTCTCTCTAAAAAGTATGTAAATAACTAAATATATAGGTGTATGTAGAGGCAGGTTCATTCAAGAATGTATATATATTATGAGAACCAGGAGAATCAATTGTTCGTGATGAATATCATGAATATATCATGCATGAAATGACGAACAATATTCATGTATATTATGTACATTCATAAGGAATAGCTGGTTCTTACGGTTCTCAAAATACTTACAACTCCTAAATGAACTTCCCCTGTGTATGTATGTATGTGTGTATATATATACACACACACACACACATATATGTACATGGAACCCTCCTTACATAACGTTGTGTATAATTTTCTATAAACTATTCCACATAGAATTTCAAACCGTTGATCCTTTGGTCATAAAGGTATTAACTCATGACTTGATCCATGCCTCAGCCCACACACATAAGTGTGAACTATGACTATAATAAAGAAACATAACTTTACCTTAGTTAGCCGTTGTATGCGTGAGGCTGCAGCTTCATGCACCACAACTGTATCGGATACAACTTCAAGTACATCTTCAACCAGCAACTCATAAGTGCTTACCTGTAATAGGTTGCAATTCTAATTTACAAGACAACGGTGAAAATAGCTTGAAAATCTTCCAAAGAGGAAAATATTGCAATTAGTACGGAACACCAGAACAACATCTTCTTACCAAACTTGATGGGATGATGGATATTCCAAATGAATCGAGCTCTAGAGATTCTATTACACCAGAGTTTATATTGAAAGTATACCCTCGCACCTAAAAACAACGGGAATTTAAGCATTAGTGTTATAGAGAACGATTCACCTTTCAAACCATTAACAATGTCTATTCATACCAAATGGTCATTGGCCCTATTGGACGATAATTCTGTCTTGGTCGTTTGGTTGACCAAGTTTAGTGGACAATGAAGTAGGAATGGTTACCATCCATTCAGGAGAACATGTAGCATTATTAGTTTTTTTTATGCAGTTTATTTATGTAGATGAAGTTTATTTAATGTTATGTAATCGCCCTTCTTTTAGAAGTAATTCAGCAGAAAAAATTCCCTCTTGAGTGTGTTCTTCATCACCTCTTTACATCGATTTTTCGTGTGTGTTTTGTGATCCTACGCAAACCGATTTCCAACACTTGGTATCAGAGCCAGGTGCATGCCCAAATATCTCAGACTAGAAGACATGTCGATCGTAACACAGCAGGGAAAGGAAAGCGGTGGAGTACCGCTTCAGTGCCCGATGTTGACATCGACGAACTATACCACTTGGGCGATAAAGAAGGAGGCCATCATGGATGCCCATGGGATATGGGAGTTCATCGAACCACAGACCGAAGTGGTCGTGGATGAGAAAAAAGAACAAGTCGGCTCGAGCCTTCATCTTCCAAGCGGTACCGGAAGACATCCTGTTGCAAGTAGCAAAGAAGAAGACATCGAAGGAGGTCCAGGAATCCTTAAAAACGAGGTATCTGGGTGTTGATCGTGTACAGAAGGCGAGACTACACACTCTTAAAAGCGATTTTGAGGCCCTACGGATGAAAGAAGGGGAGTCTATACACAGGAAAATTGAGCGGTATGATCTCGAAGTACAGCAGCCTCAGTGCCACTCTCGAAGACAGTATACTGGTAAGAGAATTGCTTGATTCAGTCCCAGATAAATATCTTCTGTTGGTGGCATCAGTTAAGCAGTATTCAGATCTGGACACCATGCCATTTGAAGAAGCGATCGGTAGGCTCAAAGCCTACGAGGACCGACTGAGGGTTTGCAGTGGGAATACAAGTGGTGAAACAACTTTGTTGCTCACCCGAACAGTAGGTCAATCCAATCAGAGGTCTTCGGGGGGAAGTTCCTCAACGGATGGTAGAGGATGAGGCTCGTCACTCCATGAGAGGGGAGGCCGCAGTGGTGGTCGAGGCAGAGGTGGTCGTGGAGGTTTCATAGCGTCTCGAGACTCAAATGGCAACCATCAAAGAAGAAGGGACAAGAAGCACATAAGATGTTTCAACTGTGACAGATACGGACACTATGCGTCCGAATGCAAGTCGACCAAAGAGAAAGGTGATGAGGCGAATCTGACTCAGATGCAAGAAGAAGAATTCGCGCTGCTTTTGAGTGTATGCGGCGAGAAAACGACAACCATGGTGTGATGACAGCGAAGACATTTGGTATCTAGATAATGGTGCTAGCAATCACATGACCGGTGTGAGAGGATGCTTTGCCGAGCTTGATGAACAAGCGACTGGGCAGGTGCAATTTGGTGATCGCTCTAAGGTGCAAATCGCAGGAAAAGGGTCCATCTTATTGGAGTGTAAGAATGGTGAACAACTCATACCCGACATGCATCTCATTCCTGCCTTACATAGTAACATTTTGAGTTTGGGCAGATGACAGAAGATGGGTACAAAGTCGAGACGTTGCATGAGTACTCGAGGTACATGACAAAAGAGGTACAACGATCATGAAGGTACAACGATCCAGGAATCGATTGTACAAAATCATTCTCCATACCACTCAATCGGTGTGTCGAGCTACGAGTCTCGATGATGAAGCTTCGTTGTGGCATGCGAGATTGGGTCACGTAAACTTCCGTGTCATCGAAGCCATGGTACAAAAAGGGATGGTGCATGGAGTTCCAAACATAAAGCATCCTACACAGGCCTGCGAAGGGTGTTTGGTCGCAAAACAGACTCGACAATCGTTCCCGAAAGAAACATAGTGGCGTGCAAGCAGGCCACTTGAATTAGTTTATGTTGATCTGTGTGGTCCAATATCACCACAAACCATAGCAGGTAATCGATATTTTGATACGAATCAACTCAGCAAAATCAAGATTAGCGGCCAAAACGTACCACTAATCGGATGCTTACGGATAAATCCTGGAATTCGAGAACCGGGGAATCTCCAATGTCATACGACAATAATAAAATATCTGAATGAATGCCAATAATGAGGTGGTCGGCCCCCTAAATAAAGCCGTACCCTAATCCTAAAAAATAGGAAAACATATTTATCCTAATAAACTAATTAATATCTATCCTAATCAACTAATTAAGAATAAGTAAATTGCAAACCCCCTCTACTTGTTTCCTGCCTCTCTTTTGCGACGCTAATATATCTGACCCCAGTGTGGGTTGGGCTGAGCCGTATCATTACCCCCACCCCGAAGATTCACCTTGTCCTCAAGGTGAAAGGCAGGGAACTGCTCCACCACCTGAGTGTACTGACACCTCCACCGCATCCAAGTGCGCGTGAGTTTCCGATGTTCCCTCTTCCCCCTCATCATCTTCATCATCCATTAACATGATCCGCAGGGCTTTCTCGGGACAACGGTGCCCAGGTGTGAACTTCCCGTCGCATCGAAAACATAAGCCCTTAGCCCGTTTATCCGCCAGTTCCGAGTCTGTCATCCGTTTAAACGGCTGTTCGTTACCCCCTATTGACGATTGTTGGGTTCCCGTTGGTGGGGCGGCCAGAGGCCGTGAGCCCCCCACTCCGATCCGCACTAGCTGACTTTTGTTTTCCCCTTTTTCCGTGTTCCTGATGCTGACAATCTTATTTTCATCCACCATAAGAGCTAGTTGGATCGCCTGATCTAAGTCCATTGGTTGAAGCAACCTCACGAAAGTTCGTAGCTCCGGCTTCAACCTTTTAGAAATGTACCCTACGTAATCTTCTCCGGAATAGCCCTTAGATGTGCCGCTAATGTTTCAAACTTCCCTATATACTCGCGTGCCGACCCTTCCTGTTTACGCTACCTGATCCACACAAGACCAGACCTCGGTTACTCGGTTGGAGTAGAGAGCAGGTACATGGAATCACCAAGGGAAAGTCATCTCAAAGCAGTCAAGCAGATTTTGACATACATCAAGAGGACAGTCAACCATGGCTTGGTATTATCAAAAAGGAGGCAATGGGAAATTGGTTGGGTATAGTGACAGTAGTCATGGTATGGACCTGACTGATCGCAAAGGCACAACCGGAACGGTGTTTTATTTTTCAGGTAACCCTATTACGTGGTCTTCCCAAAAGCAACGTACTGTGGCCTTAAACTCCTGTGAAGCTGAATTCATGGCAGCTACCTTAGTGGCGTGCCAAGCATTGTGGTTAAGGAGTTTGCTGAAAGATCTAACGGGTTGGGAAGCTAGAAGTGTCAAGTTGCATGTGGACAATAAGTCGGCCATAGCTCTCATGAAAAATCCAGTGTTTGACGGTAAAAGCAAGCACATAGACACAAGGTATCACTTCATACGTGAGTGTGTTAAAAAGGAGCTGATCGGTGTGGAGCAAAGTGGGGAAGAACAACGAGCCGATATTCTGACCAAAGCATTGCCACGAGTTAAGTTCACTGAGATGCGGGATCTTTTGGGAATGAAGGATCTTGGAGACACAAATCAGAATTAAGAGGGAGAGTATTGGACGATAATTCTGTCTTGGCCATTTCGTTGACCAAGTTTAGTGGAGAATGAAGTGGGAATGGTTACCATCCATTCAGGAGAACATGGGTCTGCATGATGTTGTTTACTGTTTACACATTTAGCATTATTAGTTTTTTTTATGCAGTTTATTTATGTAGATGAAGTTTTTTTAATGTCATGTAATTGCCCTTATTTTAAAAGTAATTCAGCAGAGAAAAATTCCCCACTTGAATGTGTTCTTCATCACCTTCTTTACATCAATTTTTCGTGTGTGTTTTGTGATCCAATGTAAACTGATTTCCTCACTTCCAACAGGCCCAGCTGTTTCCTGGTTACGGGTAGAGCCCAGTCTCCCTGAGGTCAGGGCTCAAGTCTCACTAAATGTAAGAAGTGTGTGAATTTTGTGCCATATAATATTATATACTTAAAAAAAAAAAACAATGTCTATTCATTGTACACTAATCATAATTCTTGTAATAATACCAAAAAGAGCACTATATTTCGCAACAATGAGCAGTATTGGACAGTTATGGAAATATAAATGTAAAAGGAACCATAGTACTTAATTCTTTTTGTCTTAGATCACTCATTATTCTCTATGCGTAGTCTTCTTTTTGCATCTTTGCAATAAAAACGGTATTTATGCAACAAAAAGTCAAGTATGATGGTTCAAAAAGTTAATCACGCAGTATTGTAAGAGAATGAAATAAAGCATTCAAGATGATGCTTGCGATCGAGGCATACCTTCCCAATATCTCGCTGACCTGGTGTCACAACACTATATCCTACCTAAGAAAGAGCATCATATCAGGACTCAAATGACAAAGATGTAGTTCAACAAAAGAGATTCATTTTGAATTTTGAGGTCAAAATATTACTTTTTGAATCTACCATCAGCACGGATTCCATTACAAACTTGAAACCAACATATTTCTATACTGCATATGTTTAGGTTTAATGTCGTATTGGATTGTGCGCAATAATGAAAGGAATTATTTATTTATGTTGGTAAGAAAATGATGTGATGACCATACCAATGTTTCTAGTCCAACCATTTTAAACTCGTTGTCCATCACAGTCTCATCCTGTATGAGCACAACGTCGCCGACCTGCCATCAAAGCATAATTACATATTAAGCCCTTCCGGAATTATGAAGCAAGAATGCATTATATTTCCACGGTAGCAATGATTGAAACAAAGGTGATATCCAATTTACAGATTCAGAATTTATTGTGCCTATCGTGAGGGTATCCTTCATCCGGCTTTCTGCAAGGGAATCTCACCTTACTTTTTTGGGCCCGAGCCGAGCTTTGGGTGTGAACAATCGGGTTTCCAAGACGGGCTTTAACCAGGCCTTAGAAAGTACTTGCCTTGATAGGGCTTTTCGGCCTGGCTGGGGTTTTTTGTGCATCTTTAGGGCCAACCTAGTGCTCCAAGGCTCCTTGAGTTGATGAAATAAATCTTTGAGCCCTTCCTTTACATTCTTGCAAAGAGGTTCTTTTCCGTTGCTCGAGCCCATAATTTTCCGGTAACAAAGAAAAAGTCCCCTCACTAGATACTGCTGAATGCACCAATAATTGTTATACTATTGGTTGTTGGTGAGAACAATTATCATTGATGTCTTTAAGAAATATAACCACTCCACTTCTTATAATGAGAATAAACAATCACTGATATATACTTAAACCATTTGGGCAAATTGCATAAAAAAAAAACTTGGCGTGTCTTTAAGAACGTACTCTGAAATGATATATTTAAGGTATATAGTTTGAAAAATGTTGCTCACGTGATGTAGGTGAAACTTGGCGTGTTTTTGGAAGTACGTTCCTTAAAATAAACATTTTTCAAACTACAGACATTTTCTAAACTATAGATGCCCCTCGAAAGAGTAGATTAGATTTTATCTGTATGATTTTTCGAGCAAACGGCCAATAGTATATTCAACATTGGTGTTATGGTGTATTTAACCCCACTAGATATGGTAGATACTGAAACATACATGACCTTGACATTAAGTTAAAGGTTAGACGAATGGAAAAAACGACTTACCTGCCTTGTATCCTCCAAAAAGAACCTTTCTAGTTCTCCAGATAGTAGATTTGGCCTCACTTCTACAATCACTACCATCCACTGTGAAGGGAAAAATATAACTTAATGAACCAAAAATATAGCTTAATGAACCAAAAATATAAAACAAATAAAATGAATGAACAAAAGCATCTCATCATGCCTACAATAATATTCCCCCAAAACAACAAAAAACACTCGAAAACCGACCAATGATATTACAAATTGTATGGTTTTGTTTTTGGTAACCGTGGATGTCCACTCTAGCTTGCGCACACCTCGACTAATCCCATGGGGCCCTGAAGATAACAGCCTGGAAATCCCCAGTGACCATGAGGAGACGTGAACTGACGACCTATAGGGAGGAGCCATAAGGCATAGCCTTTATTTGTCAGTTGAGCTGGCCCTCAAGGTTATAAAATTGTATGTTAAAGCAAACTAATTAGGATTGCATGGATTAAAAACGAGAAAATGATTGGGATACCGCCTATCGGTTACCACAATCTAAGTTGCTTCCTAAGGCCGCTATCTAGCCTTCAAAGATGACTTTTGAAGCTTGCCAGCTTGAGTGTTATGCTTAAGGAGCTTAGCTTGCCTAAGAGCTTATTAGAAGGAGTCAAAACTAGCTCGACAGAAGGTGATTGGGCATTAACCAACACAACAGTGAAATCCGATCCAGCTTTTGCTCCCTCCGCTCCCCGAACGGACTTATAGCAGCAATACCCATCAGAACCTCTGATGAGACCTATCCATCATACTTCCACTTTCACTCTTAGGAGAACCACGTCGGTCCACTTTCTTCTACAAATCCTTGATTTTTCGACTCCCTACGTCCCATGGAATGACAACAAATTCTATTATGGAAAGTTTCAATTTAGAATTACCTATTTGTCCCATCATCTTCATTGCAAAAACTGATGAAGCCAAGGTCTTCTCGGAAACAACCTATGTGTCACTTGGGATAGAGGTTAGGTTTGCATACATCTTCGCCCCCTGCCCCCTTCCTCCTTCCTGTACTGTACCTTCGGTTGGCATATACAGGGTCGGTTTGGTTTGGTTTGGTTTTAACAAATACTCGAGTATTTCCCCTAAAACATGTGCAAATCTAGCGAACTGTTTTGGTTCCGTTTCTAATAATAATTGCCAACAAGTCTCAGAAACCCAATTTCACAAACTTATTCCAAGGATAATTAGAATACAATATATGAAATGGAACCCATAAAAACCATGATTAAATCTAGTTTAAGTGTATGAACAATAGCAATATAATAGAACAGAAAACAGTGATTAAAATTTGAAGAAATCTTCGACTCACAGTGTTAGTATCCACCCAAAGCTGTGAAATGAAACCCAAACTAAGAGCAGATTGGATGCTTATCACTTGCTTTGCAATTACATTCGACCTTTTCATCAATTGTTTCCCTTTCCTTATAACCTTCGATTGATTGTTGTTATTAACATCCAATTCCTCCAATTTCAAATCGACATCATCTTCTGACTCTGTAATTTTCACCATATCCTCTTCTTCTGCTTCGTTCTCCCTTAAATTCCCATCAACTTGAAGGAAATCTGTCTCTTCATCGCCATTCCCACTCAATTCGAACTCGGGTTTTGTTGGTTCTCTCTCTTTAAACTTCAATTCACCGGGAAATTCATGTTCTTCTGATCTTGAACTTGAGCTTGAAGGGTAAGAATTTTGGCTAATTTTCAATGAAAATTTTGTGGGTTTGTTTGTGGCCCAATGAAATGACCCCAAAAAGGAGATTGAACGAATTGAAGATGGCGAAAATCTGATGCAAGAGTAAGGAGAGAAAGAAGAAGTGCAATCACACATGATGATGATTGTGAATCCAGATTACAAGTTCATACAGACTCTATGATGCTAAAACCCTTTTCATGATTTTTGTCAGGGTTCTTCCCTAATTTCTTTGGGTGAAATTTGCCGGATTGCTACATGAATTCAAGAAATTATATTTTTTATATTAATGCTACTAGAAGCGTAATCGCGCAATGCAGCGAGATATATCATGATTTTAATATTCATTTTATTCTTTATCTCAGTCGATGTTATAATATGACTTTATGTGATTTTGAGAAAGTGATGATGTTTTTATTTTTGAATAAAATATATGTTTGAAAATATTATAAAAATTTGATAAAAATATATCGATATTAGTATCAAATTAACTATTTAAAATTCCCCATTTTTTGTGTAATTTTTTAATTCAATTTTTTTATAATTTAATTTATGTACAATAACGAAGTAATTT